GGTCACACGGCCGGCAAGCCAGTCCCACCCGGTCACATGGCTGGCAAGCCACTCCCACCTGGTCACACGGCCGGCAAGCCAGTCCCACCCGGTCACATGGCTGGCAAGCCACTCCCACCTGGTCACACGGCCGGCAAGCCAGTCCCACCCGGTCACATGGCTGGCAAGCCACTCCCACAAAGTAGGCCACACCCACAGGAGAGGTTCTAAAAAAATTTGAAACCCACCACTGATGCACAAATGCCTGCGTTCTCTCCTCACCCCCAGGAGTCTTTAGAGAGGCCTGTTAGGCCCAAAACGGGCCTTAGGGGGGTTGCATGCATGCTCAGGGGTGTACGCGACCCCCGCGCTTCCATGCACCCCCCTCTGACATTGCCCGTTTTGGGCCTACCATGCCTCTCTAAAAACCTGGATCAAAAATGGGGTGCAGGGAGATGCACCGTCCTCCCTGTGCTCCCCCTGCCCCCGCGCATGCACAAACGACACCCCTCCTTCCACGCATGCGCACCCATCTCCCGCATGCACAGCGGAGACCCAAAAATCAGCTGGCCTGGCAGGAGGCAGGAGCGCAAGTGCGGTGGAACTTAGCTGGGCGATGGCTCACATGCCATCGGAGAGAGGCCTCCACATGCCACCTGTGCTTTGCCATCACGGACCTAGGCAAACTCTTATTGGCTGAAGATGGACTGGTTGTGGGAAGCGGGCTGGGATGTGGGGAAAACTTTCTGTGTTGTTTTGAGCGTGGGAAATTCAAACTCTGATATTTCTGCATCCAGCATCTTTTAGTAAAAGAACTTATCACTTCAACCAAAGGGAGTTGAGCATTTTTCTTTCCTAAGGGATCAGACTGGGGCAGGTCTGACACCAATATCTGGACTGTGATACGACTGTGAATGTGGCAATCATTGGAGGGGCCCCACCCCATGAGCTCTTTTCTCTTTTCTTTTTTATAGGTGGGGGAGGCCCGAGCACTGTATAACATTGGCAATGTCTACCATGCCAAAGGCAAGGAAGCATTGTGGACCCTACCCCAGGAGGAGCCAGGCCAGTTGCCCCAGGAGATTCAGGAGGCTCTGCAAAAGGCATCCGAATTTTACAAGTGAGTGAGTGGGTGGTCTTCTCCAGGTGGAGAGGAGTGGTGGGGGTCCCATTGAGACACCCCAATATTCATTGGATAAGAATAAAAAAACTGGCTGGAAGAGATCACCACACCATCAATAGAATTAAAAGCAGAACTATTTCTATTAGGGATAATTACAGGGAATTATGTGAGAAAAAAATCAAATACTTACTATTGCATGCAATAACTGCAGCAAGAATCATGTATGCACAAAATTGGAAAAACAAAAATAAACCAGCAGAAGAAAATGTGATTTAAAAAAGTATTAGAAATGGACAGACTTACAAAAGAAAAGACAAAGAAGAATCTGAGTATTACTTAGTATGGAATGTAGGGTCCAAATGGCTAGAGGAAAGAGGCAAAGAATAAGAAAGCATTAAAGGGAAAAAAATGATTAAGAAATTAGAAAACAATCATAAAACAAATTCAAACAAGATACAAAAATTATTTAGAACAGTATGGATTTCAAAATGAACAACAATAATTGGACAAAATAATAACAAGAACGGAAGAAAAAATGATTACAAAAACATACAATTATCTCTTAAAATTCAAAATGGAGGAGGAAACCGTGAAGGAAACAATGATAATTTGGGCTAAAAACTTCGGGTACAATATTGAATTGGAGCACTGGGAAAAATTATGGGGGAAAATTATAAATTGAGAATGTTGGCATCCTATAAGGAAAACATCTGCAAAATGTTTTATAGGTGGCATTTACCCCCAACAAGATTGACCAAAATGTTCCCAAATAGATCT